CTACTCTATTTTCTTTTTTCCTCAATCCCTAGAAAGGTTGGTTAGGAAGCCCAGTAATATGAACTGCTGAGAACTAAATTGTCTTGGTCAATTGATGAAGAACTAACTTGAAGATCTTTTGGCCATCTGGGAGAGAAGAGATGAGTGCCAAGGAGATATTGAAAGGGATGATTTAAGGCTGAGTTTACTACATTCAATTTAACCTCTACCTCCAATAAACTCACGAATGGGAAGTTTTGATTTTGGTGTAAAAGTAGCAGAACTTTGTGTCTAGGCCTATAAGGTGTGGGAAAGCCATAGTATACAGGAGCTTCTGAAAACAGGAGCTTCTTGGGAGTCTGTACGTCCAAAGATTATGGAATTTGATGATTCAGGCCAACCTTAATCTAACTCTAGAAGGACAGATTATCTGGGGTGGCACTGGCCACAGAAGAGCAATTTTGATGAAGTGGTGAGGGCAGAACCAGGTATCAGTCCACTTCTGAGTGAATGAGAGGCACGAAAGTAGGGACAGTGTGGAGTGGAAGATTCCTGCGTTAGCATGAAAATGACAGTGCAGTTGGTTGGTGCAGGACGCTGCAGACCTCACACAGATGACGTGCTTAAGGTAACAGGATACAGCGGATGCTAAAAAAAGGCAGAAGAGGAAAAAATGTTGAAACATTTCCAATGCAATATTTACATTTTAGATTTTACGTTCTCACTTTGTAAACTAGATTCTCTCCCCTTCAGGTTAGGTGAAAACTGGTCAGATTGAACAAACTGTGAGAAGATTTTTCAAAATGACATGAAGCTGGGACCAGCAGATAGCATAATGGTTATGTCGCTGGACTCCCACGTAGTTTACCATAGTTCAAGTCCCAGACCAGGTGGTTTAAAACTCATGTTGGGCATGCATGTGTGTGTGTATCCAATATCCCAGGAAGAGAATGGAGGAGAAGGGGTTGTGATGCAGCCATCCCCCCGAGGAGTGATTTCTCACTTTCTGTCTTTTTGTCTCTCTGTCTCTGTCTCTCCAGTGAGTACACTCACCCTATAACAAAAAATCTCTTTAAAGAAAATAACATGAAGCTTCCAGGGTAAGAAGTAGGAAGCAGGTCATCTCCGTGTGGGAAATGCCATCGCCCAGTTTGTGGCCGGTTTCTGGTTTTAGGTCAAAGACAGGTGTCAGAATTTGAAATCCTGTAGGTAACTTTCTACTTGAACTAGAACAACAACAGATACAATGGCCTCTTTGTAAACTATGTGTTAAAACTTGGGCTACAATTTTGTGAACTTTCTTCATTAGTTAACATGTCATATTTTTAAACATGCCAAGTTGGAACTAGAATGCTGGTGGCCAGGGTAGCTGGGCACTCAGGTACTTCTGGGCCACCCACCCTTCTCCCCTATACTCATCTGCCCTTTCCCTGGGTCCCAAACACACTCAGAAAAGCTGTGTGAGCAGTTTACCATTTTCCAGTTTTCATTAATTCAACTGCTTCATTGATTTTACCGAGATCCAGAGTGTGGGTGATTAGTGCATCAAGATTAAACTTCTGTGCCATATAATCAGAAACCAGTTTGGGGATGTGTTCTCTGCTCTTCCAGCCTAGAAATACACAGAATAATGGCAGATTTCAGAGTTTGTTTTATTCATCGTAGAGAGATGTGCATGTATGGGGACGGGTGGGGAGAAGAACACCCTTGACAGGGTCAGCCCCCTGGTTCAGCAGGATCCTGGGGCTATGCAGGCCACCA